AAAAAAAAAAAAAAAAAAAAAAGGCCTGAAAGTTTTTGTACAAACTATAAATGCAGGTATTTAAGTAGCCACTCTTACAAGTAGGTTATCTGCTGAAAACAGTAATCACCTACAAAAACGTCAAATTATCTCCTTAGCACACCAATGAAACAGTAATTCCGTAGTCTTTTTTTTTTTTTTTGGCTGGGGCTGGGTTTGAACCTGCCACCTCCGGCATATGGGGCCAGCACCCTACCTTTTTGAGCCACAGGCGCTGCCCAATTCTGCAGACTTAAGTTACCTTTGCTTTGGTAAGAAAACAGAAACAGAAGATGTATGTCTTTCTAAAACCTACAGCTGGCCTTGTGTGTTTTCTGACAATTTAGTGCTGACTTTGAGAATATTGTCTAAAAGGTTTGGTAGCACAATCAAAGCTTTGATATGAACACAAAGACACAAAGTTTTCTTCTCCTTAAAGGGCTGTTAAGTATTATCTTCTGAGTTTCAACCCACGTTTCTAATAATAATTTCTAATTAAGAAATTATTAAAATAGGGCGGCACCTGTAGCTCAGTGAGTAGGGCACTGGCCCCATATACCGAAGGTGGTGGGTTCAAACCTAGCCCTGGCCAAACTGCAACAACAACAACAAAAATAGCCAGGCGTTGTGGCAGGTGCCGGTAGTCCTAGCTATTTGGTAGGCTGAGGCAAGAGAAGCACCTAAGCCCAGGAGCTGGAGGTTGCTCCAGCTGTGAGCTGTGATGCCATGGCACTCTACCCAGGGGGATAGCTTGAGGCTCTGTCTCAAAAAAAAAAAAAAAAAAAAAAAAAGAATTTGAGGTTGCTATGAGCTAAGACACCATGGTACTCTACCAACAGTGATCAAGTGAGACTCTGTCTCAAAAATAAATAAATAAAAATAAAAAATTTTTAAAAGAGACCAGACATCACTAGTTTGATTTTAATTAGTTGCCTTAGTGCTCAATATGCAATGGGATAAATTTAAGAGAAAAATATGAACTACTGGGTGGCACCTGTGACTCAAAGGAGTAGGGCACTGGCCCCATATACTGGAGGTGGTGGGTTCAAACTTGGCCCTGGCCAAAAACTGCAAAAAAAAAAAAAA